CCCCCCTCCATCAAAGGCCAGTGCACATTAACCTTAGTCCATTTCCGATTTATTGCAGCAAATTACTAACCGTAGAATAATGTGGCTGAACACATAAAATGACTATTAGTTTAGGTCACCTCCGAGCGTCCTCGCAGGTTCCTCTTCCTGCTCACTATAAGGTGAAACGTCTGATGTTTGTCCATCCTCTGTAGTGTGAATGCTGAGTCAGCGTTCACACTTTTGTTTTCCTGTTGATTGTTTCTCCTGTACATTTTATGCTTTGCAATTAAACTGCTTGTGCTGTTTTTAAACGTTTATATATCAAAACATTTTGATCGATCTGTTTAAAAAAAAAAGAGGCTTTTGGTTTTTGTAGCTTTTATATTTTTTAAAACATTAAAGAAATGTATTGAGATCTTTTTGGTTCTATAAAAAGATTATTGTGTTTGCAATCTGCTAAAGCTACTGGTCTTTATTTTTGTCTTTATTAGGATAATTTTAGCTTTTAGACGTCTCCTGTTTTGCAAGCTTTATCTTTTAGCCAGAGTTTTGGTTATATTAGCTTTTACCAACAGTTTGCTGGTTTTAGCTTTTAGCTTCTATTTTGATAAATTTAGCTTTTTGCTAATATCTTGGTAATTATAGCTTTTTGCTTCTGTTTGGTTCATTTTAGCTTATAGCTAGTGTTTTGCTGATTTAGTCTTTTAGTTACTGTTTTGATCATTTTAACTTGTAGCTATTGTTATACTCATTTTCAGCAACAAATCATTAGTTTGAGCTTTTAAGATACTGTTTTTAGCAAAGCACTAGCTATAACCTAAAATGAGCAATTTAGGCTATCGCTAGTGTTTTGCTAATTTAATCTTTTGGTTAATGTTTTGCCTATTTTAGCTTGTAGACAGTTTGATGGTTTTAGATTTTAGCTACTGTTTTGATCATTTTAGGTTTTTGTTAATGTCTTGGTCATTTAGCTTTTAGCTGCTGTTTGGCTCATTTTAGCTTATAAATAGTATATTACTGATTCAGTCTTTTAGCTACTGTTTTGATCAATTGATCTTTTAACATTAGTTTTTTAGTTTTAGCTTTTAGCTGTTGTTTGGCTCATTTTAGCTTATAGATAATATTTTGCTGATTCAATCTTTTACGTATTGTTTTGATCATTTGAGCTTTTATCAGCAGTTTTCTAGTTTTAGCTTTTAGCTGCTGTTTTGCTCATCTAACCTGTAGCTACTGTGTTGCCAATTTAATCTTTTAGCTAATGTTTTGTTTTTATCACAGCCACAGTTTGCTGGTTTTAGCTTTTAGCTAGTTTTGCTCTTTTAAGCTTTCTGCTACACATTTACTTGAACAATTCAGTAGCGTCATTCAGCATTTAATGCATATTTGCATAAAATTCAATGCTTTTTTAGTTGTAAATAAATATTAAAGGGTTGTTTTTAATTAAAAACAAACAACAAGAGTAAAACAAAGCTTGCTGTTTAAATTCACTTTATATAAAGTAGAAAGAGAGAAATGTAACTTAATTATATTGTTTAAACAGTGATTGTTTCATTAATATGATGATAAAAGTCTGTTTTAAAGTAGCAGTTTTACTCTTCATGGCATGGAGAGCTGGCTTCTCGTATTTTGCAATAAAACTCAACAAATCTCCTCTGACAGATGTACTGAGGCCAGAGGAGCTGAACAATGATCCTTACTGTCATTTCTGATGCAAATCTGAGCGCAGAAAAAACAAGAGGCTTTTAAAAATGGAGACGTATGGGCCAGGTGGTATCAGCCTTCTAACACCTATAACACCTATTCTGCATACATTTACATATTCATGATGTGAGGAGCCTTAAAGGTTAATGAAGGCTTTTTTTTCTCTCTATTATGTGTGCCTGCATACATTTAGTTGGAACCGAGGGATATTAAAATCTTCTTTTAACTCCAGATTTTATGATTTAGTAAACATAGGCAAAGGGGGAATAGTTTTATTTATTTAATTTGTTTGTTTTGGCTTTTTGAACAGGAATGCACTGATGGCTCAGAATCAGCCCATTTTGAAAAATGGTGGACTACAGGTTGAAGCTTGTACACTAATAATGTTTGGAGAAGCAGATTTTGCAGATCTGGGTCTGTCACTTATTTGGTTTATCTGTTTTAAATGGTTTATTTTGAACCAGACAAGCAAACAAAAAAGTAAAATAAACCAAAACAACTGGGTTTGTAATCTGAGACGTTTCGCTTCTCATCCAGGAATGTTTCTCAATTCAAAAGGCATAAAAGCAAAACATCTTCAGCTTCAGAATAAAAGTCTAGTTTAAACTTTTGTTTTGTTTTGTTTCGATTGATTAATCGATTGATTTCTAAAGATCAGTAATCAGAATCAGCCAGGATTCGCAAAAGCTCCATCAGATGATTCCGCTTCAGTGTTTCATGTGTGTGACGTTCCACCTTCTGTCTTTCCAGGATGCGCCTTCCTCACATATTGTGCGCGTGAGTCAGCCCTCAAAGCCCAGAATGCACTGCACGAGCAGAAGACCCTACCAGGGGTAAGTGTGTCATTGTCTTGTCGAGCCCGGCGAGCGGAATAACCGGCACGCCGGGCCGTCCGAGCGCACGGCACTGACGCGTGCGGACTTGAGGAGTATAAAGCGAGTCTGACACGTGGGCTTGACTTCACCCTTTTAGCTGATACGCTCCAGTAAAGGTCAGAGGCCGGCCTGCCTCTTATGTTTCATATGTGATGCATCCAGACACATCCATCCAGTTCAGGCATGAGTCATCTTGCTTACATGTCATGGGTCGAGAGAGACGTCGCTGCCGGAGTGACTCTTTTATTTTCTAGCTCTTTATCTCATCGATGTTCCTCTTCTTTTCTGCCCCCCCCCCTCCACCTCTCTCTCTGAATTCTAATCAAAGTTAAACCCAGCTTTATTAGCACAGCCAGGCAGCAGGTGTGCTGCCAAATGACATTTCCAGAGCTAAATATGACATGACAGCCGCGTCTCTTTAATAACCGTCTATATGAGAGACAAAGCGACAAGGCAAGGAATTACTGAGACAGAGTGCGCTCCCAGAGTTGCTGCTGCTGCTTCCTCTTTTACTAACAAGGCCTTACTCCCCGTTTCCTTTTGGTTATTTTTGTTCAAATCCACGTTGTTCACTAATATTTTTTTTCCAACTCCTGAATATAAGCTGAAGGCAGGACAGTAGATGCTGGTAGAAGAGAGAAAAGGTCTGTAAACGACAAAAAAAAAAAAAAATCGAGATTATGTACATCATTTTTTTGTTTTGTTTTTGTTGTCTCGACTGGTTATATTTAAAATAACAATTTACATGATTTTTACTGAATGTATTTCAGGAAATGCAGATGTTTGTTTTTGTTTTTTCTCAGCAAAAATATAAAATATATATTTTTAAGTTATTTGTCATGTCAAACAGTCATTTAGTTGTAAGGTTTTAGCAGAAAGGACGTTTTTTTTTCTTTTTATTTTGTGCGTTATATTTGGACACAGCCTTAAAACAGCTGTTACTTTAATAAAGCCGGCTGGAGAAGCGCTATTGTAATATATTTTTTGTTATTTGGGTTTTAAAGGAATATTTAAACATGTTAAAGTGGACAAATCTTAATAAAAGTTGCAGAGAGTAAACATTAGATGAACATTAACAAGCATAAACTTTTGGAGTCAACCCAGTTTAAAATGGTTACCAGAGCTAACTGATCTTAGCAAACATAAAAAATGGTTATAATTTTGCCATTTTTAAAAGTATTAAGCAAAAATTTGTTGTGTTAATAAGACATACTCTTGAGTGGAGATTGTGCCTAACTTGTTTTCAAGGTTTGACCAAAAACAGCCACAGCTTCATCTTTTCTTAAAAAAAATTAATCTAAAACCAGTTTCCCTTGTTTCCCAGCTCCAACACCTGATTTAGTGATTGAATCACCTCTTTAAGTTCTACAGAAGCCTGTTAAACACCCATTTATTCAAACCAGGTGTGTTGGATCAGAGAAACCTCTAAAGCCTGCAGGACCGTTACCCTAGAAAAAACAGGATTTGACCCCCCTGGTCTAAAACTTTTGACATTGAAGGTGGTTATAAATTCCTTTAAGAAATACCAGAACTTTAAATATGTTTTTAAATAACCAAAATATTCAATATAAATTATTAATTCCAAATTACTAGCAGGTTGAGGTGGTAGCAAATGGTCTTGGCTTCTGTCCGGTTAGAATTAATCTCTATTTCTCCAAACTGAGCTCATTCAAAGAGCTGTTTGCAACAGTAAAGATCCTAAATGTTCATAACCTTTTGACTTTTTAACACCGAATCATAAATTTATACCATGTTTACACAAAACGATCCCTGAAAATGTTCGATTTTTTTTTGGGATGTTTTTTGTGAAAAATAAACTTGCGCCAGCATTGAAAAAGCTTTTAAATCCCTTTTCACATTTAAATCATTCAGTTGGGGTCTTTATAAAGTGGAACTGCAATGCTTTGGTTTGAATTCCTCCTTACTGTAACTCCACAAGCCCCTGTTTACCCCCATTTTTTGGGGCGCGTCTGAGATCAACTCGTTTTGAGGCTGTCTCTTTTAACCCAAACAAAGTCCTTCACACCCCGCCACCCGCCAACTTCCTGAGCGGTCCATTCTACTTTGATAGAGGGGGGTTTACGACTATATAGCTGCGCAGAAACGTTTTATTTACAAATGAATTAAAAGATGTCAACAAGGGAAGACTTGTCCATCCAGCCTTACGTGTTGGAACCAGAGTCTGACCCAGAACCAGAGGAGAATGAAGACCACCAAACTGTAGTTGGTAAATCCAGATGTTATTTAGCAGTTCCGTTGCGAATACTGTGATGTAATAGTTGGAAAACATCGTAGAAAATAGAGAGAACTGAACGGGTTGAAAAATACGACCCAAACAGAATCTATGCAGCACCAGGAGAACCGAAATTCAAAGTTTCTGCACTCCTAAAGACTCCAAATACACAACAAAATGTATTTAACGGCTAAAAAAAATTCCCTTTAAACAGTTTTATAGGCAGAGCTGAAGCGATGAGACAGCTTTAAGAAGCGAGCTGCAATTAGGACAGCTGTAAAAAAAATCTCATTGTTAGCGTGACAGTAGTTGGACCTTTCTGACCTCTCATAGCAAGGCAGATTGTCCATCCTAAAGCCCTCTCTTCTCCCCCCTCTGGCTTCTCACTCCAGCGGCTCTCCTCCTCACCATCTCTTACCTCCATAAGCCCTGTGGAACAAGCTAAACCCTCCTGTCAATCCTCCCCCTCGCCGAAGAAGGGGGGAAAAAGGAATAAAAAAAGAGATAGAGAGAACGAAAAGCGTCTTATTAGCTCCACACACGCCCACACGGACAAGATCTGCTTCCCACCCCTGCCACCAGCTGTGGTGTAATTGTCATGTAATTGCACCTGCACTGCCAGAGAATAATTAACTTTGGCATCTCATGGCCAGGGCGATACAAAAGGAACAACATGATAGCAATTATGGGACCGAGAGGAGTGAGCCTAAATGAAAGCACACCTGAAAGCAGAAAAAAAAAGAATCTGAAAGATGTCATTAACATTCAGCGCTGCTTTTTGTCGTTTTCAAGCATTTCTCAATTCCGAGTAGAAAGAGTTACTCTTACAGCTCTTTTGTCTCGGCTAACAATGGGGGGAAAAAAGAAAGACAGAAAGAAAGAGATAGTCAGGAGGCATGGGTGTGTGTGTGTGTGTGCAGATGGGTGTATCAGAGTGGCACCTGGTCTTGTGTTTAATTTCAGGTGAGAGAGGCTGCCTCTAAGTGAGAAGAGGAAGAGGAGTGTCAAAGCTGAAGTGGGGGAGGGGGAGGAGGCCAGAGGCAATAAAGCAAATTCACTTTGAGTGTGAAAATGGAGATTTGAGGGGGGGAAAGGAGATTTTCTTCCTGAGCTGTAATTCATTCTGTCCTACCTGGACATCTTGTTCCTTCTTGTTATTCTGTCTCGGGTCGTTTGTGTGGCCCCCGGTCAGCTAATGTGAGGCTGGTGGAGACAACATCCACAATATGCCACGTTAAATCAAAGCCGAGTCCAAAACAAGAGCAGGTACCTCGCCGACTCTGAGCTGCTTCCCGGAGCCCAAATATATTTGTATAATGAACTAAATGAATCAGCCCCTATTTTTACAACCCATTAACCTTTGAAGACATTTGCAAATTGAAAAATAAGAGGAAAATATTTTTGCTCATTCCTTCGTTTTATGTGTGCATGTTTTCTGGTTCAGTCAGGCTTCTGCGTTTTTTTTTTTTTTTTTTTTTTTTACAGATTGTTGATGTCACGGATTGCTCTGGAAATTTGCGATTAATCCAGTTGCCAAATGTCAGATTAAAGCACAAGTCTGGCACTTTGGGATGTAAGCTTGTTTGCCTGCTTGTAAAGAGTTAGATTAAAAGATCAATAACAATTCTGTGTGTCCGTTTGGCAAATACGAGCCTGCAGCCAAAAAGCAGGATAACTTATCTTAGCACAAAGGCTCAGGGTCTGGTTGAACAGTCAGAAACTTATCTCCTATTTGCCCTTTGCTAATTCTTTTGTACTGGATTTGAAAACGTCAAGAGATTTAAAAAAAATGTCAGGAGAAATGTGGTAGAAGGTCAGAGCTGCAACGTTTTCACTTCTGAGCTGGGATGTGAAGCTACAGTTGTCCCAAAATATCTCTACATGTACAGTATATATTTTTATCCTGGCTTTATAATACACATCATGCTAATAACTTTGCCCTGATTTTTATTTTGATTAATGCTGATGACATATAACATCAAAAGGTGAAAGCTGAGTCATCATTCTCCTTGTTGTTTTCCTGATGCTCCTTATTATGTATTTTCAGACGTATTTTTGTAATTTACTTGTTGGTCTTTTGCTCAGTCTTATTTTTAGGGTTTTTTTTTGTACTTTCATACTTTTCAAAAAATCAAAAGTTTTGTAAATTACATTAAAATACATTGAGATTCATAGTAAATACACACACACACACACACACACACATATTCTTTTTAAATTTTCTGCAAAAACAATATATTTTTATCTTCCTTTGTTTTTAGTGAGGGGTTTTGCTTTTTAGTCTTCTGTTAACTTTAAGCTAGCATTTTTCTTCTTTAAGGTTTTAGCTAGCGTTTTGCGATTTTTAGCTAGAAATTTGCGACTTTAACCTTTCAGTTTGCATTTCGATGTTTTTTGCTAATGTTTTTCTACTTGTAGCTTTTTCTTGTCTGTTTTATTTATTTCATTTTTTAACATCTTGATGCTTTTAGCTAGGAGTTTAGGGGGGGTCAATTAGCATTTTGCTACTTTTAGTTTTTAGCTACTTAAAGCAATCAGTTTGCTACTTTGACCTTTTGGTTAACATTTCAATACTTTTTGCTCATGTTTTGTTGCTTTTAGCTAACATTTTGCTTCTTTTACCTTTTATTTAGCTTTTTAATATGTTTAACTTGGGTTTTGCTGCTCTCATATTGCAACCTTTAGCTTTTAGCAAGCATTTTGTTACTTTCAATTTTGGGCTCAG